CTATGATATAGAAAGCATTATGTAGATAGGGCGGTAAAAACATATAAAAGGCCGCGAGTTGAGATATAGAGAGGCTGGTCGTTTGTTATCTTAATTTTAGGTTTTGGTCTCTTGCTTGTCAGTTGTATTATTAATAGATTAATTTTGGACTTATCGTTTTGTTTTAATAAGGACAGAGGTTTGATTTGTATTATTTTGTTTGTTATTTTATTTCTTTTATTGAATAAAAGAAGTGTACACTTGAAGTTTGGCTCGACTTAATTATTCTACCTAAAATAATGGATGTTGAAGAAGACTTGTTGATAGTTGACGAGGTCGGCGTCTCTAGTCAACAAGCAGGGCGCGAACAAACTTCCGCCCGGCCCGTGTTTTCAGACCCTGAGAGGGTCTATTGTAGAGTGGCGGATCCCGGCCAGGAAAGACTCCGCCGAAGCGAAGGCTCGGGTGGATATTCGTATGCGGACGCGGTTCGGGACCGCGTGGTGCGGAATTCGAATGTCGCCCGGCGAAAATCTACAATTGGCGCCCAACGTGGGGCCTCTTTTTCAAACATAACAGGTTTTAGGTGCAGCAGGAGCCAAGGTGATTCTCCAAATTTTTTAGGTGACAGGTGCCATGTTCGACAACATGAAACTTTTTTAGATGTTAGGTCACAGGAACCGAAGGAGGATCGAAAATCAACCTCGAGCAGACTTCAGACTTTCAACGCCCGCCAGCCAACAAAATGAGATTATTTTAAACAACAATCGTTTTGAAATTGTTGACAGGTACGAAGAAAAGCCGCGCATTGATTTTTCAGCGAACAATTTAGGTTACAGGTTTATCCCCAAACAGGATATTTTAGATTTTAGGTGCCAGGGTGATCCGAAGTTGCAGGAGTTCGGACTGAATGAGCTGCGATTAGCGTCCAGTAGATCACGGCAAAATAAAATTTTAGGTAACAGCAACAGGTGCAGAGCGACCGAGCGAGAGAGAGACACAGTTGAACACGAGTCGACGTGTGATAGTCAGGAACCGCTTCATTCGACTGATGTGAAGTCTCAGGTTCATCAACCGCGTATAGGTGCCGAGCGTGACAACGACTTTTGTCGTCGCGAATTGCTTCGACCTGACAGATTTGATGGCACCGGCTGTCTCAAAACTTTCTTAAAAAAGTTTGAGATATGTGCCAGGTACAATAATTGGAATCTCGTAGACATGGAAGCGTATTTGTCATGTTCGTTAACAGGTGAAGCTTCACAGGTTCTCTGGGATTTAACAGGTTTAGGTTACCAAGAGCTGGTATCTAAGCTAGAAGATCGTTTTGGAACAAGAGGTCATGAAGAGTCATACAGGTACGAATTACAGATTCTTCGTCGAAAACCTGGTGAGTCGTTACGAGAGTTGTCAATGGTTACTAAAAGACTCATGTCATTAGCCTATCCAGGAGAGCAGTCAAGATTAGCTACACATCTAGCTAGGGACTTTTTCTTGTCAGCCCTCGATAATGCTGAATTAGAATTAAAGGTTAGGGAAAAAGAACCAAAGAACATTGACGATGCTCTTAGATTCGCACAGCGTCTTGAAGTTTCAAAGATGGTGGTAGATTCATCTCACAGGTTTGACCCGCAGGTTAAAGATTTTCAAGCAGGGGCAGAAAACATGGAGTCAATGGTACGACAGATTGCGTTTCTTCAAAAGTCATTTGAAGAACTCAGAAATAAAAGAGTGCAGCCAACTGTATCCCGAGTTGAGCGAGAGAAAATTTGTTTTAATTGTAAGAAGCCAGGTCATCTTGCAGTCAAATGTCCTGAGAAGAATGAGACCTGCAAATCCCAAACTTATAGTCAAGTGAATTTCAAAGGTTGTTACAAATGTGGAAAGACAGGTCATTTTGTGAGGGAGTGCCCGCAAAAAAGAATGACAAGCAGCACAGTGGATCACGTGAACAAGTCAATTGAAAGTAACGATCGTGTCTTGTATCTGCCAATCACAATTAATGGCAAAAGAAGATTAGGTTTACTTGATAGTGGCAGTAGTGTATCCATGTCCAA